CCGGCTTGTTTTAAAAACGATATTCCGTTGTTGTTTGTTCCTTTTTGCTCTCCAGGGAAGCCACTTTTCCGCTTTTTTCCCGTTACTTCCGGTATTTTGATCCTGATCCGCTATTCCGTTATTGAGATCGAGATAGAATCTATAGTTGGGGAAAAAAATAATTCTATGTACACCCATTTATTTTTGTTTGTTTGTCATTTCTCTCTATGTACACCCTTTGGGTTTTAAATTGATATTCATATGTTAGCGAGACCGTGGTGCGTGGATTTTCAGCTATTTTCAAGAAAGTTGAGTGGCATCCCTGGTTTTCGCCTGATTGGGATAAAAAGTTGGGGTTTCTTTTTTCGTAAGTGACCATGAAAATAGATGACTGTATGATTGATCTTTTAAAACATTATTCAGCCGTTTTTCCTTGTGAAAAATATTTAATCTATAGTTGGTGAAAAGAGATAACCATACGATTGATTTTTTAAAACATTATTCAGTATTTTTTCCTTGTGAAATGATTGATTTTTTAAACATTATTCAGTCATTTTTTTCTTGTGAAAAAGAAAAAAATGTAATGTATATAATATAATGTAATGTATATAGCTTATGGAAGTGTTGGTTTCCCCTCTCCCAACCCCCCCCCCCCCCCCCCCCCCCCCCTCCACCAGAATGTGATTCACTACCACCACTGGCGAGAAGGCAACCTGCCGCCCAACTCCAAGTGTGTGGCGTGCAAGAAGACATGCTGGTCGTCCGAGTGCCTGGCCGGCATGCGCTGCGAGTGGTGTGGAGTCTCGGTAAGCTTTTCTATTTTTTTCTGCTCTCTTATCTCTCTCTCTTGTCTGTCTCTCTTATCTATCTCTCTTGTCTTGTATTTTTCCGGGTAGACCGTTTAAAAATTTTTTGTGAGGAGATGGAGAAGAGTAGATGGTAGGAAAGAAGGGGAAGAGGAGGAGGAAGGAACTGGTTCATAATATATTTAAATGTACATAATATATTAAAATGTATATGAGTGGGTGGTTGCAGGGTGCCCTGGTGTGGTTTGCTCCTTCTTTTCTGACAAACATCTATTGTCCTTATCTCTCCTCGCTTCTTTTTTTTTGGTGTAAGTTACTCTCTTGTAACACACCTATTCTTCGGCACTTATATGCCCTTATTGTGTTGTAAGTGCCGTAAAACTCTTACTAAAAATGTGGGTGGTAGGCGTGTTCTCTGATGTGGTTTGCTCCTTCTTTCCTGTCAAACATCTATCGTCTTTATCTCTCTTCCTTTTTTTTTCGGTGTAATTTACTCTCTTGTAACTCTTCTAATCTTCGGCACTTATATAACCTTATTGTGTTGTAAATGCTGTAAAACTCTTACTAAAACTATCTCCCCTTCTTCTTTTTTATGTTTGTTACTCTCTTGTAACACCTCTAATCTTCCGGCGCTCATATGACCTTATGCAGTTGCGAGCGCAGTAAAACCTCTACTAAAAAAAAAAACTCTTACTAAAACTTAAAAAAAAATATTTGTATTATATTTATTATTAAATGTTATAATTTATGTCCTTTATGCTGCCTTTTGTTTACCGGACCTGAGATTTCTCCCTTATGCTGAGATTTTTTTTTCACACCAAATTTGTTTGTCCAGGCTCATGCTACCTGCTACCGCTCCCTACCTGTAGAATGCAAGTTTGGGAGTCTCAGAGAGATTCTGCTCCCGTCTAGCTGTCTAACGATTCCGAGGCTCGATGTTCCCATGGAAACCATCCTGGGCATCAGTCGCAAGTCGAGTAAGTGGCCGTAGAAATAGATGTCCTGTTGTTGGTATGTTAGGTTTTTATAAAACAATCTTCATCATCATCTCATCATCATCGTCATAATCATCGTCATCATCATCATCAACACCACAACCACCACCACCATCTTCATCTTCATCATCATCATCATCATCATCATCATCATCATCATCATCATCATCAATACCACAACCACCACCACCATCTTCATTATCATTATCATTATCATCATCATCATCATCATCATCATCATCATCATCACCGACTAAACAGTTCCCCTTTTTCTTGTTGTGTTTTTCTTGCTTAATTTTTTCTTCTTGAAAAAATGGATTACCTTTGATGAAATTTTTTTATCTGCGACATCATTTCTTCCATCCAGCATAAAGTAATGTTGTGTTGTTTGTTTCTATCCTCCCCCTCCCCACCTCCACTGCTCTCCTGGTCTGGCAGCTTTTCCAGGTAAGCATGATGGAAATTTTTTTAAAAAAATTATTGCCTTTTAATCGTAATACACACACATTAAGTTAGACACTCATTTGACCGAATGTAGTTGCGAGTGGTGTAAAACCTTACTAAAAAACCCAGAAAACTTACAAAAGTTATTTTTGTTGAGGTTTATATCCTCCCCACCGCTTTAATATCTACTATTTCTACTAGTTATTGTGAAACCTAATATTATTAATGTTGTCATGAGAGGCTTAAGAAAAACCCAGCTGATTTGGGGAAAGTTGGGGGGGGGGGGGGGGGGGGGGGGGAGGGTGGGGGAGCGATTTTTGTTCACTTTTCTTTATCGCTTTTTTCCCCATTGTCGTTCTGGTATTTTAAAATCCTCTTTTAAAAAAAAAGATTGGGTTGCAGGAATGGTGAAAAAGGGGGAGTTTTTTGTGTGAGTGGGTGGGGGGGATGAGAATGGCTTTCCTTCCATTTCGAGCAAGCTTAAAAATATAAATTACTGTTGGTAAAATATCAATTTCCTTTGGTAAGTGCAATTGAAATGCACAAGATATTGAAAAATTTTTTCAACAAGTTTTGGTTTTGATTTTTATCTTTGTCAGCGCGCACTGTTTCAGAAGAGTGGTCCTCTAGTGGTGACTCAAAGACGGAGGACGAGGAGAGGGAGAGACGGTCGCCCAGGGAGAAAGACGGCAGAGACAAGGATAAGGAAGATTGTAAGTGCCAGAAAGGAAGATTGTAAGTGTAAGTGCCAGACTTTGTTTAAAGATAGACTCCAGGAGGATTGTAAATCAAGGAAGATTGTTAGTGGAGGAAGATTGTAAGTACAGGAGGATTGTAAATACAGGAATATTGTAAGTACAGAAGGATTGTAAATCCAGGAAGATTGTAAATACAGGAAGATTGTAAGTACCAGACTTTGTGTAGAAATCGACTCCAGGATGATTGTAGTACAGGATGATTGTAGTACAGGAAGACTGTAAGTACCAGATTTTGTTAGATAGACTCGATTCTCGAGGGAGATTGTAAGTACCAATGAGATTGTAAATACCCGCCGGGAGATTGGAAGTACCAGGAAGATTGTAAATATTGCATGGGATTTCTAAGGCTCTTGGCAGTACTTCAGAATTAACAATGCATATCATGTTCCAGCTAAATGGGCAAAATGGGTATCAAATAGAAATTCATTTAGTGTAAAATTCATAGAGCTTGCTGTCGAGCGGGGGTGTTCGCTATACAAATGCTATTTGTTTTATTATTATTATTATGATTGTTTTTGTTATTGTTATTGTTATTATTATTACTATTATTAGTCATTATTAGACTATTATTAGTCATTTGGTGAGATTTGTTTTGTTTTGAATTTGTGGGAACAGCTGCTTTTTTTTTCTCTTCCTTACTATTGTCATTTTCCTCTACTTCTTTCGTATGTTCGTCACTCTCTTGTGAACTGCTATTTCGGGGGTGTCTTGATAGTCAAAGCAGACTTTGTGCTGTTGAGGCAAGAGAGGTGAGCAGAGTAAGCCTGATTCCCCGTTTGGACTTCTGTATCTGTTGACATCCTCCCGTTGGTGCCCATATAACCTTATGCTGTTGCGAGCACTGTCTTCTTCTTCTTCTTCTTCTTCTTCTTCTGACCTAATGCAGTTGCGGGCGCCATAAAACTCTTACTAAAATTTAAACTCTTCGCTCTACTTCTTCTTCTTCTTCTTCTTCTTCTTCTTCTTCTTCTCCTTCTCCTCCTCCTCCTCCTCCTTCTCCTCCTCCTCCTCCTCCTCCTCCTCCTTTGGTGAGATTTGTTTTTTAAATTTGTGCATTCTGTCTGTTTCAATCATTGTCTGAGCACTTTGTCACTTTTTTTTGTCTGTCTATCCAGGTGAAATCATCCGAGTGTTTGATGGCAACGCCTCCCTGAAGAAGCGCCTGTACCGCACAATATCTGTGCCCAGAAACGCAACTGTACAGGCCATCTTGGTGAGTAGAATAGCATGAGGGTCATACCCCAATCCCCTCCCAACTCGCGATCTCAGTGCTTTCTTGTCGTATCACCATTTTTAACCCTATCCGTACGCCCTGGGGTCATTTTGTACCCCCTAGGTTGTATTCTTCACATTTAGAATACTTCTAATGCAAAGATCTCTTTGAAACTTTCAGTATTTCTTTAAAAATCATTTTGCTAGGCAAAGCGTACGGATTGGATAAACAAGTAAATTTCCTCTTTGGATAGTGGTGGCACAGAGTTCCCCACGTCGTATGGATACGATAGTAAAACACGATGTATGAATAGGGTTAATAACAGTGAAAACATTTCACGAGAAAGGGTGAGCTTAAGAAGATGTTACATTTTCACTGTTTAAAAAGATACAGATACGACAAGAAAGCACTGAGGTCGCAAACTCTTTATTCTTTTTTTGTTTTGTTTTGAGAAAACTTAACTAAAAAGATCTAGCACCTGATGAAGTAGAGCACAGGTTTAAAATGTCCCAGTAAGTGTATTCTTTATACATGAAATGAAATCCTGCAATATTGAGGGTTGAAATAAGTAATGGGCACTTTTACTGTACCAAAAACTAGGAACCAGAAGAAAAATAAAAAGACAGGTGGTTGTGTTATACAGGGGTAGTAAAAACTTTGTTGTGCTGGGACTACCTTCTTCTCAAGGGAATATTGCTTTTTTAGTCTGTTACACCTTTTTGTTGTTTCTGTCGTCCAAACTGTTTCTCATCATTCTCTTTACGTGGGTGGTTGGCAGGTGCTCTGGTGTGGTTTGCTCCTTCTTTTCTATCAAACATCTATCGTCTTTATCTCTCCCCCTCCTTCTATTTTGTGTTTGTTACTCTCTTGCAACACCTCTAATCTTCAGCACTTATATGACTTTATCGTGTTGCAAGTGCCGTAAAACACTTACTAAAACTAAAATTCTCTTGACGTTGTAATTTTTCAGGAGGCAGCTCTTAAGACATTCCACATATCAGACGATCCAAAAAACTATTTCGTCACAGAAGCCTCGGAGTCAAGCCTTGGTAAGTTGTGTGTGTGTGTGTGTGTGTGTGTGTGTGTGTGTGTGTGTGTGTGTGTGTGTGTGTGCTGTTGATGTAGCCAAAAAATTATTTGTGTAGTAAAATTTTGAGTCCGGGCCATTTACTGTCTCACTGAAGTGACTGGTTGGCAAGCGCGATTGGTAGGTCCTACTTGTTTTCTGTCTGTTTGTCTGTCTGTCTATCTGTTTGTCTGTCTGTCTGTCTGTCTGTCTGTCTGTCTGTCTGTCTGTCTGTCTGTCTGTCTGTCTGTGTGGGTGGTTGGCGGTTGCTCTGGTGTAGTTTGCTCCTTCTTTCCTATCAAACATCTGTGGTCCTGATCTCTCCTCCTTCTTTTTTGTGTTTGTTACTCTCTTGTAACACCTCTAATCTTCGGCACTTATATGACCTTATTGTGTTGCACGTGCCGTAAAATTCTCACTAAAACTAACTGTCTCTCTGTCTGTCTTACTTTTTCCTTGAGATAGATTACTGTCATTATGTGGGTGCGTTTCTCTTTACTCAAACAAGCTAAGCTAGGTCTCAAAGAAGTTACCACCCCCAGGGTAAGTGCCACTGACTGAAGTGTCTTTAGGCCATTCCCAAAGGGGGGACATTTCTCGTTCAAGCATAGTAGAATTGTAAATGGGCTGACTCATATCGCACTCATAACTGTGCCTGATCTACAACAGGGAACTGCTGCTTTTTCTGTCCTGATCCTTACTATTGTCATTTTCCTCTACTTCTTTTGTATGTTTGCCACACTCTTGTGACCTGCTATTTTGGGGTGCCTTGATAGTCGAAGCAGACCTTGTGCTGTTGTAAAGACTGTAAAGACTTCTCTGTAAAGACTTCTCTGTTGACACCCACCCCTTGGCGCTCATATGACCTTATGCAGTTGCGAGCGCCGTAAAACCCTCTCCTATTTAAAAAAAAAAGAAGTTACCACCAAAGGTTCAGTTTCCATCATTGCTGGATGGCCATTTTGCTTTGATGTTACACTTAGATGTGTTTGTGAAGGGACATTTATTTTGGTACATTCGTTCTGATCTCTGATATCTGCAAATATTTTGTTGTTTTATATCAGTGTAATTAAATGAACTCCTTAACGTGACCTAGTTGTTTGACAGGCAATCAAGTTCAAAACTGGTCTGACAAACGTGTGTGTGTTTGTGCGTGTGTGTGTTTATGAGTGTGTGTATGTGAGTATGTGTGTGTGTGTGTGTTTGTGTGTGTGTGTGTGTGCGTGCATGCATGTACGTATGTGTGTGTATGTGTGTGTGTATGTGAGTGTGCCTGTGTGTGCATCCATGCATGTGCGTGCATGCGTGCGTGTGTGTGTGTTGACGCGCCCTGCTACGTAGCTTTGGCTCTCTCTGACTGGCCTCCTCCCCTCCTCCTCCCCCCCTCCTCCCCCGCTCGCTCATCCTGACAGCGCTGCACAACCTTCCCCTGTCAGCAGGTGAGCGGGAGCTGGAGGAGAGCATGCCGGTCCGCTCGCAGCTCAAGACGCCTGACGGCAAGCGGCCCTCCATCTTCCTCCGCTACAAGGAGCAGAAGGACAGCGGCTGCATCAAGGTCTACCCTGGAGGTCTCAGGTAAAATGAGGGGGGTGTTTAGAAAGTTTG